GCTTGGATCCACACCATCCTCATCATCTTCTAATTCATCAGCTTTCCTGTACATCACAGGCATCATTTAATGTTGCTTGTTTGTCTCTCTTTGAATTATTGTTTGGTATTAAGCAAAACAATCAAAGGTTTGTCATGTTTCCTGCTTTGAACGGAATAACAAAGCTGAAAAAGCAGCTGAAATATTTATGGCTCGCTCTGTTTTGCGTTCAGTGTGCTGGTGTAAAGGCAAAATGATGCTGCTGGAGACAGTGGAGCTGCTTCACATTTAGACTTGTGCTGTGGAGAGCAGAGTGTGGCCCTCTGTGAGAGCCTGCAGGGCTGCTGGGGAGGGCTGGTGCCAGCGGGCCTCATCCTGCTCTCTTCGTGGTGGTGATATGCTCATTGAACCCTGGTGTTTAACCTCTGCTGAGGCTGCAGAACCAGCTCCCAAGAGGTCACGTACGGGTGTTGGACTACTTTTGGGATGCTCCAGCCCAAATGCCAGTTGCTCAAAGCAGAGGTGGAGCTTTTAATGACCAAAAGGTTGGGAGGGGGTTGTTGGGATCTCCATGACAGGCAGGGACTCTTTACTTCTCCTGCCCAGCCTGTGCTTGGAGCCCCTTCGGCCCTCTCATGTGTAGTGGGAGTGACCCAATGCTGGTCAGAGAGTTAAAGCCCAATTTAACTCGTGGTGTTTATATAAAAGCTTAGCAATAACTGAATGAGAATGACCTGGATATAAGCATTAATATACTCTACTTGCACATATCCAGCCATAGAGCTGAGTGGGCTCTTCTGCTCCCAAATGGAAAGGATAATCAGGCATTGGAACAGGCTGGCCAGGGCAGGGCTGGAGTCATCATCCCTGGAAGTGCTCACACACTGTGTAGACGAGGCCTCAGTGTCATGGGTTAGTGGTGGCCTTGGCAGTGCTGGGGAATGGTTGGACTGGATGATCTTAAAGCTCTTTCCCAACCCAGTTGATTCTATATCCCAATGGGGAGAGGCAGGGACTTTGCATCCAAGTCTGGACGGGAGCAGTTTGGGTGCTGCCTGCTCCTTGTGCTGTGCCTGGGGCAGGCTGGGGATAGGAAATGCCACCCTTCATGTATTAGGGGATCTCCAGACTTGCTTATGGTCTTTGCTGAGTACCATTAGGTAATCAGGGTGCCCAGCTGCCTGGGGGACACATCCCAAGCTGTGGGTGACCATCGCTGTTTGGGATGCTGGGGAATTCCTGCCTTCCTCGAGCAGTGTCCTTTGGAGAGGAGTCTCAAGCACATCTCTGGCTGGTGTTTTGGTATAGGAGCACCCTGTCAGCCTGTGATTCATTGCTACAGACAAAATGCAGTCATAAACCCCATCCCACGCTGGCATTAGCCAGCAGTTCATGCTGGCAGTGGGAGGTCTGTGGAGCTGGGAAGGAGGGAAGGACGTTGGGAACATCACAGCTCAGCTGATGAAGTTAACAGGCAGCGGAGGGCAGGAGGCAGCGCTGCCCGTGTCCCTCCAGCAGTTGGGCTGGAGCCTGGCAGCATGTGGACACTAAAGACCCCGTGGCCTTGTGCACCCTTGTGTGAGGGAGCTGGGATGCTTGTTGCTTTGCATTGTGGCTCCTTCTCTTGTGCTGGTGGGATGCACTGTGAAGAGCTGGTGCCTTGCCTGGAGAAATGCATTTGTCTCCTGTAATGAGTGCCAGGGAGTGTCAGCTTAGGACTTGCCCACGAGGGCAGCTGATGCTCTCCAGTCCTGCTAAGGGACCAGCAGCCCTGGGGTGGGTGCTCTCGGAGAGAGCAGCATGTCCTGGCAGGGATCCGCTTGCTCCCTGGGGATGCTTTTGGACAAAAGGCCAGGGCTAGGGCACGGGGAGGAGAAGTCCCAACTGGAAGCTGTTTGGAAGTTTGCTTTAGGGTGGGAACGTCTGTGTGTTTTGGCATAGTCCCAGTGATGCGTTCCTAGCTGTTGCAAAGGAAATTATCTTGCTGGTGGTGCATGTTATACCTAAGGGGCAGGAGGTTTTGTGGTGACTGGCTGGAGTGACAACCATGTCCTGGCATGCAGGGTGACACAGAAACTCCATAAAAGATGCTTCCACATATCCAGAGGAGCATTACAGCTTCATACCCACCGCAACCCATCCCTGCCTTAACAGGCATTGCAGTGTGATGATGTGCTATTGGTACACCTCCAGGTGGTGATGATTTAATAAATACAGTTCCTGCCCAGAGTTTCCAGAGCCAAACCTTCCCCTGCAGTACATCTAGTGGGACTTTGGGCTGGTTTGAATCACCTCCAGTGATGATGCTGCTGGCGTTTCCCCCGGGAGCCCTTATGAGGTGTCAGCATTATGGAGATACTGCTGCTGCTCCTCCGAGGAGTGACTTTTCCTGATGGGAAGGCAAAGTATCGGTTGATAAAAGATAAAATAGGGAGGTAAATGTGTCACCAGTGGTGTCATGTAGCATATGATAGTTGTGGCTGGGAGTAAGCATCTGCAGACACACGCTGTCCTAAGCAGTAGTGGGCTTGCAATGTCTTTAATGTGAGCCTTATTTGCTTTAAACCTTGAAATACAATTCCCTAAGGCTGGCTTGCTTGTGGAGCTTCAGGAACTCTTTCCTCCCTGCTGTGGTGGCAGGTCCTGGGGCTGGCAGTGCTGTGCTGGTGGTCACTGTGTTCCTCAGTGCTCCCCACGTTCCCCAGCTCATCCAGAAAGGATTAAAAGTGGCTGATGCAGGGGCTGCAACCCTGCTCTGAGGATGCAAAAGAAGTTTGAGGTGACCCTTGTAAAGCTTTTCCCTTTGGATTGGGGCTTGGCTGCCAAGAGAGCATCAGGAGGCGGTGGGGGACACGCCAGGGGGGTTCTGGCCTCTTGGGTACCACTTGGGGACGCCTGCCTGTGGCCTTCGAGCATCCTCGTGGCTGTAGGCAGCGATGGCAGAAAGTATTTGCAAGCAGCTCTGTTGATGGTGGCTGACAGCGGGAGGCTTGGGCCCCGTTGGTGTTTGGACTTGTTTAGCAGGAGGGAGAGTGGGACATGTTGGAGCTGCGAGGGCATTGCCGGTCAGAGCTCTGCTGCCGCCGAGAAAGTCAGCTTTGAAACCAAAAGGGCTTGTTGTTGGGTTGTGCATGTTTATTACTGGAAGTTGTACCAGGAGATTAAAAATCAAAAGGAACAGGAGCCATTAGGCAGCTTCCTCGATAAAAATGCAGGTTGCACTGGGGTGCTGTGGAAAGCGGTCTGAATGCCGA